ATTTAAAAAAAAATTTTTTTATTGCATTTTAGGTTTGGGGTACATGTGCAGAACATGCAAGACAGTTGCATAGGTACACACATGGAAGCGTGTTTTGCTCAATGCCAAATGTGGGTGAAGGGGAGAGAAGAAGAGGACACAAGGGGATTTTAAGGATTACAATTCAAGATGAGATTTTGGGTGGGGACACAGCCAAACCCTATCGCTTTCTAATATCCAGACAGGTTTTTGCCCCCCGATACTTCTTTCTCATTTTGGAGCAATTAATCATTCTACTTTAGAACAAAAATTTTTCTCTTCTTGTTTTAACAAAACAATACACATCCTCATAACTTATGCTTTTCCTTACCAAAAGCACATCTGACCTACCTTGTATACTTGCATATAAAGTTGTTTTCCTTAGTATTTCTAGTAATTTTAGTTACATATTTTAATTAGTATTCTTAGCCTTTTATGACCTTAATTTCTAGTGAACACTAGGAGGCAAGCAATTGCGAATATCATACTAGCAGTCTATAGATTGGAAAATCTGTGAATTACAATTCTAGGGGTGTGTAGTTTTTTATAACACATATTTTTTCAATGTGGCACAGAAGTATTAACAGTCCCAGCTGTCCTTAGCTTCTCTGTATTTAGGAATGGTAGAGGAAGCAAATTTTTACCTCTATCCTTTTAGAGCTCTTTTCCCCCCCCATCCTTCATAAGAATGTTAAAAGTTTCCGGTATAGAAAGGACATGCTTCACATGGGTATTTTATCTTACCTCTATTTAAATCTTGTTTTCAACAATTCTGCTTGAAATGCTCATAAAGATGAGACATTAAATACCTAGGCATCACCTTAAGTTATTTTTCTTGCTGACAAGTTATGTCACATAGAGATAACATGAATTTATTTCACTAAACCTAGGGAAGAAGAGTTGTGCATCTGTATTATATTAAATGCTGACAACTCTGAAGATATGCCTGCATTAATCAAGCCAACATGCTTTTATTTACCAAAGGTTATCCAAGATTATGTAAACTTGAAAAATATTTTAGGTTTGTTTCTAAGGGTTTAAGGAATACCTATTTTGTATAAGCACTTATTTTTCTTTAAGCCAATTACATAATTCTCTTTTACGATTTAATTTTGGCAATACCGTAAGGAAAAAGAAATATCTTACACATTCATAACATACATACTGACACATATAAATATACACATAAAACAGATCTTATAGTTTTCATTTAAAAATTTTAGCCAGGTGCCAAGTACGATAGCACAAAACTTACTAATATATTAAAGGATATCTGGAACTGAACTTTATCTGGCCCGTGGAACAAGATTACCCACCTCGATGGTTAAAGTTTTTGACTGATATTTGTAGAAAAGACTTTAGTTTTTTTAATTTGCCTCCTCTAAAGAATCTTTTAAAGAGGAAGTCTTTGATTTATTTAATAGCTTAGATATTTAATACTTCTGTGTATCAATTAAAGAATGTGTCCCATTGCTTTTGTGGTATGTTGGATCCTTTCTTTCTTTTTCTTTTTCTTTTTTTTTGTAGTTTTGTTCTGTCACCAGGCTGGAGTGCAGTGGTGCAATTTCAGCTCACTGCAACCTCCACTTCCCAGGTTCAAGCAAATCTCTTACTTTAGCCTCTTGAATAGCTGGGACTACAGGCATGCACCACCCTGTGCAGGACCAGATAATTTTTGAATTTTTAGTAAAGACGGGGTGAAACCCCTGTTGGCTAGGATGGTCTCAATCTCAACCTTGTGATCCGCCCTCCTTGGCCTTCCAAAGTGCTGGGAGTAGAGGCATGAGCCATTGTGCCTGGCCAGATCTTTTCTTTTCTAATGTGCCTCACAAGTGACCAGTTTTATCCGGGTTAAACTTCACTGTGGCCAGTATAATTCTAGGTTGTCCTTAGTAAGGTTAACACATTTAAAAAAATGCACACGTTCTGGGACCATAATTTCTGTACATAGAGACAATTGTGCTTATGTATGGTGTTTTTAAAGTGATAAACATTGGGTTGATATAAGAAGCTAGCAGGTGGCCGGGCGCGGTGGCCCACGCCTATAATCCTAGCACTTTGGGAGGCCGAGGCGAGTGGATCATGAGGTCAAGAAATCGAGACCATCCTGGTCAACATGGTGAAACCCCGTCTCTACTAAAATTACAAAAATTAGCTGGGCATGGTGGCGTGTGCCTGTAGTCTCAGCTACTTGGGAGGCTGAGGCAGGAGAATTGCTTGAACCCAGGAGGCGGAGGTTGCGGTAAGCCGAGATTGCGCCATTGCACTCCTGCCTGGGTAACAAGGGCAAAACTCCATCTCAAAAAAAACAAAAAAAAAACAAAAAAAAAAACGCTAGCAGGCAGCTTCACTTAAGGCAAGTTTTTCTTTTCCTTTTTCTTTATCATTGTCTTTGTCTTCTTTGCTCTCCTTTCACTCCTCCTCTGAAGCTATTCAGGAAGATGGCAACATGTAGGCAACAGTGTTTCTGCCACTGGAGATGTTTTATTGTATTCAGAGAAACTAAATGAGATATACCAGAACCTTTATATATACGGAAGCCCTTCATCTATGCAGATTTCCATTCCTACAAATACTATATTTTCAATATGTGTTTGGTCGAAAAATATCAGCTTATAAGCTGATACTATAAGCTTGTGAACTGATATTTGAAGCAGAGCTATGCAGTTCAAACCTGTGTTATTCAAGGGTCAACTGTATATTTACAGGTCACCTTTCATCTGAAGGACTTTCGTCTCTACTACACAGGATGTTATAATGATCTATTGTCAAAAATGTTCTTTGTAACTTACAGAAACATGAGAGTACAGCTTATGTGGCTTAACAGAATCTGATAAACACTAGGATTAAAAAGAGGAGAAATGAAGGCAGGTTTGGAGAATGAGGAAGAAATGGTATTGTTTTAGACAAGGAGTCAAATATTCAATTCGCCATATTTTTGAATTCCAGCAAGCTTTAGAACAGTCTTCTTGGCCCAGAAAGTCTATCAGAAAGCCGTGCTTGAGCTAGACTGCAAGTGAATGTTTGCTATACTTTTGATTTGTTATGGCTCTGTGTAGGAGAGAAAATGCTAAGCAAATATTTGCACATTGTACTGTAAGGAAATAAAAAATTGATTAGAAGTGAATCAGTTGACCTCATGTTGTTTCATTAGAAGTAATTTTCTTTGGATTGTCTCGTTGCCTATAAATGTTCTTCCTTTGCATCTTAACAATGACTCTGTCATGAGCGGTCTGTGACTAGTTTCATTTTTTCCACTTAAGCTCCCCATGAGCATGGTAAGTACCTCTCCCACTCTTTATGGGGCCTGTGCTTTGGATCCTGCAAATATGTCCAAACACAGTTACATTTAATCCGTCCTTTTCTTTCGAGGAACACTTCTCAAATTATCTCTAATTCTTCAGTGTTTTATAGTAAAAGGGATCAGGTCCAAGGTTTCTCTAAGAGAATTTAGCATTTAACATTTTTATTTTTACAATAATTGAAATACATCAATACAAGCATATTCAGAAAGGGCATTGTATCAGACATGGCCAGGCTATTTTAGATGTTTGTCATTTTTTTTATCATAGTTTTTGGCTTTTATAATAGGTATTTTACTATTTTACCTATTGCCAGTGAGTGATAGGATAGAAATTGACTAAATGCTTGAATGATGTGCTTGGGTTCCCATGTAGATTCACAGTTAGTGTATTCCTTAGGGTTTTGCTATAGTTTTATAGAGGAAAGGAGAATTCAGTCATCCCAATGCACATGGTTCCCTGGGCATACCAAACTCGAAAGAATCTATACTACAGCAGCTGTATGCACAATGTAAGTACCAATTTAGTTCCACCAAAAAATCATCACTTTATATTAAATTAATGTCACTCATTTGAATTTTATTGGGCAGACTTTTTAAGTTCCTGTATGTTAAGATTCTATAATTATATACAACTCTGAGTGTAAGAGAAGTTATTGCTAGTTTTATGTGGGTGCATATTTAGGTAATATAAAAAATAATTTAGGGTTTTTTCCTTGAGTGATATCATTAGTTAAAGCCTTTAAAACAGATTTTATGGAATAATTACTAACACTAGGGGAAAGAGCTAATCTCCATTCTGATTTGTGCAGGGTGACTGGGTATTCAGGGAGAATAAGGGAGTAGGGAAGAGGAACAGCAGGGGCCTGAGCAAAGTCAAGGAAGTGAAAAATTGCAAAAATCAGAAAGTGGAAGCTGGTGCCTTAAAATCATGTGGGTTTGTTAACTGTTGCTCATCAAAGTTAGATTCCTAACCTTCCTTAGAAATTGGGAGACAAGAACCTTATCTTCAGGTGTTGACTGGAACAAACAGTCAATTCTTTTGTCTACTTTGAGTTTTCTCAGGCAGGAACTTTAAGGGGTGGGAGGGTAGAACCATTCTAGGGATGTGGCCTTGGGCTTTTAGAAACTGTTAATACATTCATGTTTTTTCAAGTCTTTATAAGTCAAGGTTGAGAAGAGTGCGTAGATGAACCTGAATAGACTTTGGTTAAAGAGAGAATCTTTGGCCGGGCGTGGTGGCTGACGCCTGTAATCCCAGCACTTTGGGAGGCCAAGGCGGGTGGATCACGAGGCCAAGAGATCGAGACCATTCTGGTCAACATGATTAAACCCCGTCTCTACTAAAAATACAAAAAAATTAGCTTGGCATGGTGGCGGGTGCTTGTAATCCCAGCTACTCAGGAGGCTGAGGCAGGAGAATTGCCTGAACCCAGGAGGCGGAGGTTGCAGTGAGCTGAGATCGCGCCATTGCACTCCAGCCTGGGTAATAAGAGCGAAACTCTGTCTCAAAAAAAAAAAAAAAAAAAAAAAAAAAGAGAGAATCTTTGTAGTGATAATTACAGAGTGAGTGGCACTTTCTTATTATAAACAGTGACTGCTATGTATTAACTGTTGTCAAGTGAGCTTGATTTTTAAATATTAGCTGAAAAACTATGAAATATTATGCTCTTCATTTTAGGGCCGAGATCTGGACTATAAAATTCAGGAATATAAAGAAGCTGGAAAACTGTTTCCAGAAAATCAAATAATAGAATGGTTTATCCAGCTGCTGCTGGGAGTTGACTACATGCATGAGAGGTATGTTTATTTGCTACTGGGAACAGGATCTATTTTTAACAGTCATGTTTGAACTTGAAAAGTGAGATTTTTTTCTATAATTGAAACAAGTTCAAAGGTATATGGCTGTAATTAAACATCTCTAATATGTTTAAGAAAACGGTTGACTGATTATATCTAGAGGATTTACTTGTGTAGCTTTTTGTTGCTGTTCTGAAAATCAAGTAGACCTTGAATACAAAACAGAAATTTGTATTAAACACATTTCATTATATCTGATCATCTCCTATGAATTACAGGAAGTTCTCAGATACCTGTGGCATGCTATGAATTTATTGTATCTTACAGCAGGTTTGAGTTGTAAATATCTTGGCATGCCACAAATGAATCATGTGGTCACCTTGGAATGTGTCAGTGCACACTTAGCTAGGTTATTTAGCCTCAGAGAGAGAAGTATTCAGATAGAAAGTCAGTTTTGATGTGAAGTATCTGGTGATGAAGGTCAATTATTTTGATTATCTATGATTTACATTTACAATCTCTGACTCAAAAAATGTATTTTAAAACTCTTGATGATTTTTTATAGGTCAAAAGTAAGAAGTTTTAGGAGTTAAATGTTTTAGAGATGCATAATATGATAATACGTTTGAAAAGATGGACATGCATAGACAAAAAAGAATGGATACTTGGAGGGTGTCTATGGTAGCTTTCACCTTGGGAGCGGGTGTAAAACATGGTACCATTCTTCTTGAATGAAAGGGGTGATTTTTTTTTTTTTTTGAGACAGAGTTTTGCTGTTGTTACCCAAACTGGAGTGCAATGGCACGATCTCGGCTCACCGCAACCTGCGCCTTCAGGGTTCAAGCAATTCTCCTGCCTCAGCCTCCTGAGTAGCTGGGACTACAGGCGCACACCACCATGCCCAGCTAATTTTTGTATTTTTAGTAGAGACGGGATTTCACCTTGTTGACCAGGATGGTCTCGATCTCTTGACCTTGTGATCCACCCACCTTGGCCTCCCAGAGTGCTGGGATTATAGGCATGAGCCACTGCACCCGGCCGAAAGGGGTGATTTTTAAGGCACACCAAGGTCTAGCCATCCATTGATGTCAAATTGCTTAAATGTGTCATCTGTACTTTCCGAAAGCATAAAATGTAATCGGATCATTCTGTAATTTGCCTTATAGCTTCTAAAACACTTGCTTGTTGATACAGATAGCTCCTGATTTATTGACTGACACCTCATAAACAATCTGTTGGATGATGTCAGACTATCTTAAGAAATCTTTTTATTATAAGATTATTTGACTTAAAAGAATCAAATAATCTTTTAATAAGCTACCCAAAGTTGCTGACTATAAAACTTCCAGTACATCCATTTATATTAGTATTTCTTTTATTTTCCTTACTACTTCTTGGCATATTGTTAGGTTATACACAAGAAAAACAACTAAAAAAATAACGCATATTAAGATGCTAACTATGGTGTCATATGCACAAAATGAAATCTGGTTGATTTAAGAACCCAAATATTTTCCATAACCTTTAAGACTGCTTAGTAATAGTAAAAATAAGTGAGTTTAAAATAACCCTTTGAACAGAGGCTTATAAGTTATTGATCCTTTAATATTAAAAGAAAGTCATTAATTGAGACTAAATATTTGGATATTTGTGAATCTGTGAAACTGAAATACAATCCTTTGTGATTCAGGTAACAAGTGATGGTGCTTCTTAGTGTTACTATAACCAATTATTGTAAAGTTTTTATGTATAAAGAAATTATGGTTTTATATCTGTTTATTCATTCCTTTGTTAGTAATAAATTAAACATAAGTCTCAACTTCAAAGAGCTATTAGTAAGCTAGCAGACATAAAATATGTACCCTTATAGCTATAAGCCATGTGCCATGGTAGATGTACATGATTCAGTGTCTCCACCACTCACTAGATTCATGACTGTGAGCAAGCTGGTCATGAGAGCAAGCTCTCCTCTCTGAACCTGTTTTCTCACCTACTAGGTTGGTGCAAAAATCATTGTGGTTTTTGCTGTTATTTTTAATGACAAAAGCCACAATTATTTTTGCACCTACCTAATATGAAATAAGGATTATAATGGGACTCTCCTTGCTTACATTATAGGGTAGAAAATATGCATGAGATACGGTACAGTTTAAAAGTTTGCAAAATGTTAACCTCTATGTGATTTTGTTGTTTATGGTTATAATTTAATATAGAAGTGAGAGCACAGACATCAAAAGGGGTTTTAAAAACAATGACAATAACAAGTGTTGGTAAGCATATGGAGCACCTGGAATTCTTTTATGTTGTTAGTAGGGTATACATTGAATACAAACACTTTTGAGAAATGTTTGGCAGTACTTTCTAAGCCAAACATAAAAATACCTATGACCCAATAATTCTATTCTTAAGGGTAGAAATGAGTGTTGATGTCCAACAAAGGGTATACAGAAATGTCCATAGAAGCCTTATTTGTAATAGTGAAAACACTCAAAAATATTCATCTACAGTGGAATGGTTACATGAGTGTGGTATGACCCTATAATGGACTTTTAAAATTACTATTCTATAATTTAAAAACAACAGACAATTAATAATCAGCTTGGCTTGGGTGAATCTCAGAGGTCATAGGTAGGATGAAAGAAGCCGATGCAAAAGAGTATATACTACATGACTGCATTTATGTGAAGTTCAAAAACAGGCAAAACTAATCTTAAGGTGAGTCAGAATAGAGATTACTCTTGGAAAGGGGTTTTGACTGGAAGGGGCACAAAGAAACCTTCTGGATGCTAGAAGTGTTTTATATCTTAATCTGGATGGAGGATTACAAGAATGGAATATATGTTGATATATATGTAAAACATCATCAAATCTAAGATTTTTACATTTAAATGTAAGTTATACTCTAGTTTAAAACAAGTGATAAAAGTGCCAACAAAAATACAATTTAAGTGTTATAGGAGATCAGAAGAGAGATAGTGTTTTTATTTGGGGAATCATTGAAGACTTCTTCTTGGAAGAAGTAGCATTTGACACAAGGTAGGTTTTGATTATGATAAAAAATGGGTCAGAGCTTTCCAGGTATAGGGAACAGAGCCCAGGCAGAGGTGGGAAAACATGAAACTTGTAGAGAGAATGGTGAGTGGCTCTATTGGGAAGGCTCTTGAAGTAATGAATAAAGTTGTTGGCAAAGATAGGCTGAGGCCAAGAGGGCTTTATTTTGGAGCATAGACATTGAATTCCACAAGAGCTTTTTGAGTGGAGTTATATAATATTGCCAGAGTTTGCTGCAGGAAGGTTAGAGGACAAATTATCCCAAGGAGAGAAGGTAACTTGGGTTATCAGTCAGTAACCTTTCATCATATCCATGCATGAGACTGTGAGACCTAAACCAAGCTGGCAGAAGTAGGTAGAATGAGGGAGGATGAGAATGAACTCAGTAAGTTGAAATGACTGAAATTAAGTGGATCTGTCAGATGTGATAGAAGGTCAAAGATGAACCTGAGGTTTTGTTTTTGGATGAATGAGAAGTTAGAAAGACAGGTTTGAAACAATAGTGATGAGTTTAATTGTGAATATGCTGAGTAAGAATATGCAGAGAGAAGGAGAAGGAGAGGAGAGAGAGAGAGAGAAGGAGAATGAGAGAAGGAAGTCAGAAGTGAGACCCCGGATCTTGGGGAAACTTCATGGCTTGACTTTGGGTTCCTACAATATCAGACCCCTGAAACAAAGACTAGGGTACAAATAGATGTTTTAGGAATTAATCTTAGAAAGCAGAAGCCAGTGAGTGGGAAGAGTGAGAAGGAGAAGCCAGAAAAGCTGTGCAGAATGTATTATTGAACGAGTGGCTGCTGTCGGTAGAGGGATACAGAGGCAGACTCTTCTAATAGTGTTGTAGGCTTTGGGTTTCTCTTCCTGCATCCTTCCTGACTTTTTGGAAAAAGAAAAAAAGCAAACTTGCTTAAATATAACTATTGTTTTCTAGCACTATTGCAAATTTCCTCTTGAAAAATTTCTTGCATTTCTAGGAATTTGGAGTGAGAAGAGGGAGGAAGGTGTCTTAATCTTGATCTAATTTTAGAGTGGTTTTTAAACAGAGCAGTTATATTATTCCTGATTGTAAATGTATGATCTGTGTTTCACTTCTGTTGGTTTTCTTTTTCTTTTTTTTTTTAATTGCATTTTAGGTTTTGGGGTACATGTGAGGAACAGGCAAGATAGTTGCGTAGGTACATACGTGGCAGTGTGATTTGCTGCCTTCCTCCCCTTCACCTATATCTGGCATTTCTCCCCATGCTATCTCTCCCCAACTCCCCACCCCCTGCTGTCTCTCCCCTATTCCCCTCAACAGACCCCAGTGTGTAGTGCTCCCCTCCCTGTGTCCATGTGTTCTCATTGTTCAACACCCATCTATGAGTGAGAACATGTGGTATTTCATTTTCTGTTCTTGTGTCAGTTTGCTGAGAATGATGGTCTCCAGTTTCATCCATGACCCTACAAAGGACACGAACTCATCGTTTTTGATGGCTGCATAATATTCCATGGTGTATATGTGCCACATTTTCCCAGTGCAGTCTATCATCGATGGGCATTTGGGTTGCTATTGTAAACAGTGCTGCAATGAACATTCGTGTGCATATGTCCTTATAGTAGAACGATTTATAATCCTTTGGCTATATACCCAGTAATGGGATTGCTGGGTCAAATGGAATTTCTATTTCTAGGTCCTTGAGGAATCGCCATATTGTCTTCCACAATGGTTGAACTAATTTACACTCCCACCAGCAGTGTAAAAGTATTCCTATTTCTCCACATCCTCTCCAGCATCTGTTGTCTCCAGATATTTTAATGATTGCCATTCTAACTGGCGTGAGATGGTATCTCAATGTAGTTTTGATTTGCATTTCTCTAATGACCAGTGATTATGAGCATTTTTTCATATGTTTGTTGGTTTTCAATATTTAATTTAGTATGAAACATGTTTCCTTCAGAAAATAAACTCA